TTTTAACTTGTTCTTTTTGGTGAATGTTCAAATGTCCAAGTTTGGCATCAAAATCAGCCAAAATTTCTGAGTTTTTCAAGCGGACACTCTGATTACAATCTTTCTCATTCATTTCTACACTCGTATCACTTTCAATACAATTTTGAACAGTCTTAGCATTGGCTAAAGTGGAAACTGGTTTTACAGAATTTCGGTCACACCTTTCAAAATACTCTTTTAACATGTTAATGTGACAAACCCGTTTCTCTTTACGTCGACCTGGTGTCTTAACTACATAGTTTACATCACTGATCTTGCTTTCAATTTCATAAGGGCCATAAAATCTGGCCTGTAAAGGATGACCAGGAATAGGTAAAAATACAAGAACCTTATCACCTGGCTTAAACACCCTATTTCTGGCATCTTTGTCATACCACATTTTCATTTTCATCTGAGAACTCTTCAAATTTTCTTGTGCTAATTTACAAGCATTGTAAAGTTTTTCTTTGAAATCAGACACATAATCTAAAAGATTAAGATCACTAGTCTCAGTCAGCCACTTTTCCTTCAACAATTTCAAAGGACCTCTAACTGTATGACCGAACACCAATTCAAAAGGACTGAACCCAAGAGACTCCTGGACTGCTTCTCGTGCAGCAAATAGTACAAGATGAACCCCTTCATCCCAGTCTTTTTCATACTGGTAACAATAGGTCTTCAGCATTGTTTTTAGGGTTTGATGAAAACGTTCTAGCGCTCCCTGGGACTCAGGATGATAAGCAGTTGATCTATACTGCCTAATACCCAACTCATGCATGACTTGCTGGAACAACCCCGACATAAAATTTGAGCCTTGGTCCGACTGAATTGCCTTGGGTGCTCCTACAAAACTGAAAAACTTGGTTAGGGCCTTAACTATGCTCTTTGCCTTTATATTCCTAAGAGGTATGGCTTCAGGAAACCGAGTGGATGTACACATAATGGTAAGTAAATACTGGTTTCCAGATCTAGTCCTAGGCAAAGGTCCTACACAATCCACTAACACTCGACTAAACGGTTCTTCAAAAGCTGGAATGGGTTGGAGAGGAGCAGATGGTATCTTCTGATTTGGTTTACCTACCATCTGACAGACATGGCATGACTTGCAAAACTTCGAAACATCCTTTCTTAGCTTAGGCCAATAAAAATGACTCAAAATCCTATTATAAGTCTTATTGATACCTAAATGACCAGCCATAGGTGTATCGTGAGCTAAACTCATGACATCTCGACGATAAGCAGCTGGGACCACTATCTGGTGAACAACACGCCACACTTCATCTGGGGAAGCGTCAGGTGGTCGCCATTTTCGCATAAGGATGCCATCTTTCATATAGAAGCATTCTCCAACTTTAGTAGCCTCTTCTGGTGGAAGTGCCCTCTTACTAAGTTGAATGATATCTGGGTCTTTATGTTGTTCAGAGAGTAAACGTTCTCGGCTGAGGATGTCCTTGCCTTGGCTAACTAGTGGATGCAACTCATCATCCTCACCACCAAATTTTGGTAAAAGTTCTTTCTTCTCTTGCTTCTTGATATTGTGTGGTTCCATGCTTGTTTGAGTGCCATCAAGGTCAGATAAGAAAGTGTCATTCAAATCAATATCAACAGAGGAATTCGTTTCGTCAAAGGCTTGAGTATGGTCTGCCTCCATTTCTCGTCTTCTGGCCATCGCTCTAGTAACAGCACAGGCTGGATAAATGTCATCATCTTCATCATCGCACATGACATCTGGAGTGATTTTCTCACAAACTATAGGATCTGGTACAACTTTTCCACCAGCTAAATCGTTGCCTAGCAACAAAGAAATGCCTGGAACGGGAAGAGTAGGTCGAACACCTACGATAACAGGTCCAGTAACTAAATCTGACTTCAAACTAATTCTATGCAAGGGAACATCAATGACGCCTAGCTCCACACCCTGTAATAAAACTGACCCACCAGTAGAAGTCTGCTCAGACAAAGGAAGCACGCCCTCTAACAATAACGTCTGTGCAGCACCAGTATCTCTCAAAATCTGGACAGGTTTTATTTCGCTAGAGTCACCGAGTGAAACAAATCCCTGAGACATAAAGGGCTTATAATCCTCCATAGAATCAATAGAACTGGACTGTGAACCCTGGACATCAGGAGTGTCAGAACAAATCGAAACTAAGGTTTCTCTATCACCTCTAACTGCCGCACAAGCATGTGGTTGAGTTTTATCAAAATCATTTTTTCTCTTAAGTTTAAAGCATTCACTGATCAGATGACCTTTTTTCTTACAATAACTACAAGTAGGAAGCGACCCTATTCCAGACGATCCTTCAACACGTCCTGGACCGGACTTAAAACCACCTTGGGATGGAGACTGGGAACTTGTGAAAGACTGAGACCCTGAACCACTCTTTTTATATGTGTCTGAATTGGTAGAATTACTGCTAGTCTGAGATCTTGATACAAAATTCTTTTTATGAGACAGAGCATAAGTATCAGATATGACTGCTGCCTCTTCAAGAGTTTTCACATTCTTATCTTCTAAATGTGTTTTCAAATCTTGAGGAACACATTCCTTAAACTCTTCTACCAGGATGACTTGGCGCAAATTAGCAAAAGTTTTATCAAGTTTCTTAGATCTAAACCAGTGATCGAATAAATCTTCTTTCTCTCGTGAAAATTCAACAAATGTTTGATTATCAAACTTTCTATACTTTCTGAACTTTTGTCTATACGCTTCAGGTACTAATTCATATGCTTTTAATATTGCTGCTTTGACCTTCTCATAGTCTAAACTCTCAGCTACCCCTAGTGCAGAGTATACCTCAGCTGCTTTGCCAACCAGTACACTTTGTAACATTGTTGACCAAACATTTCGTGGCCATTTAAGATTCTCTGCGACCTTTTCAAATTGGGGAAAATATTTGTCTACAGATTTTTCTTGAAATTTTGGAACTAATCTGATATTTTTTGCTGCGTCAAATTCAGTTTTGACAACTGACGGTCCTGGTTGGTTCTGTAATTTTAATTTCTCTAATTCAAAGTTCATTTCACGCTCTCTTTCGCTCTTGCTCTCTGCTCTTCTCTTTCTCTTTCTCGCTCTTCTCTTTCTCTTTCTAATTTGTCTAATTCAAATTTCCGTTCACGCTCTCGTTCTTCAAATCTCATTTTTTCCAACTCTACTTGATACTGAAATTCTGACATATTATAAGATTCTGATTTAAGTGTATAATCTGGAAGATCATATTTTCCAAAGATGTTTTCTTCAACTAGTTTGTTTGCAACCTTTATTCTAATGTCTTGCTTTCTCTGTGAAGATTTAACCTCTAACCCAAGATGCAAACCTAACGCGATCAAGTCATCCTTTTTTAATGTATCAAAAACCTGAACACTTGGCGAATTAAGAAAGTCTGTGACCGAAAATACCATGTTGATTTCTGCTGGCTTATAATCAAATTTAACGGTTCAATTAACAAAATTTTGACAATAAACTGCAAAAGTGCAAGAAATTCTTTATCCCGGACGAGCCCCCAATTCTGTTATGGGTCAGAATAACCCTAAATGCCAGCAAAGATCAATAACACAATTTAAACTTAACAATAATTTATTTACAGTAATATATAATAAGTATATGAAACATAAAGTACAAACTTAGCAAGAATCTAAAAATACATACATCAGAGTGTCCGTTGCTGCACACAATGTCCCAGTGAAAATATGTCCCAGTTGTAACTCAATGGTGCTCATACGACAAAAGTATATCTATGCATCGAATTGACAGGGTATTTATACAGTATTATAAATCTAGAATATTCTAGAAGTTGTAAGTACATGATATTACTGGAAAGTTCTGGACATACACAAAGTTCAGGAATGTTCTAGAAACAATGACCGAACATGTTGACCACTCTGGAATGTTCAAGAAACTTAATGTTACTAATAATAGACATGATGAAACAATACAAATACACAGACATATCGCAGTATAGGTAAAATGGTAAGAAGGTGGTGTATTAAAAAAAAATTTTGGTACTGAAGTTCGAATTAACCCCCCCCCACTTACATGTAATAGGATTTTCGTGCTCGGGGAATTTTCATTTCCTTTTTTTTTTTTTTTTTGCTTGTCAGGTTTTTTTGAGTAGGTATAAAAAAAAAATTCTCTAGTGCTTTGACATGCGACTTTGTTTTGTGTCTGATCTTATAATAAACTGTGCAAATATTTTTTTTTCAAAATGTTACAAAATCCTACAAAATTTTCCTACTCTACCTGGAAAATATGAATTAGCTAGGTCAACATTTTTGAATAGAAAGCTTTGTGAAATACTGCTACATACGAGTTATGTTATTTATGGAATAAAAGTTTATGTGTTTTTTTTAATCCTTGAACCCTGGCTTCTGTGTTACATGTACATCTCTCGTTTTCATTCGGCAAGTGTTGAGAATCGATCCTGAATCCATGTGTCATTTGACATCTGATGATAATTCTCGGTGGTTAATTGGTATCTCTTATTGCGAATGAAAATCCTCGCCACAGCAATAAGAATTAAGGTAATACCAAAACCAGCAAGAATAAGGGAGATCGGAACCTCGACATTCGATCCCCCGAGGCTATCGAACCTTTTTTTTGAATTTGTTACTGCAGCGTTATGACTAGTATTTAAAGCTATAAATCGTACCAGAACCACTAACTCAGAAGTAGCTGAAAAAAGATAATTAATTATTAATAATAAACAATGTTAAGAATCAAATTCAAGACATTTCATCCTGACATAATCAGAAAAAAAAATCTTCCTGGTTTGAATCATCAGTAATAGTTTTGTCCAAAATTGCAAGATCGTATTTTCTATGTTTTTGTCTTTCAGCACGTTGTGGCATTTAAAGTTTACGTCCCTCCAAATATTTATAACTGACAAATGCGACACTTTTAATGAAGGCAAGTGTTGGTATTCGAAAATTACAAAACGTCTTAGATTGTAGAGGTGGGACACAGGAAGACAAAGCATTGTTACCTGCCACCAGTAGAAATATTCCTCCAGTCAAAAACATTAGTGGAATTGGCGATTTTTTCATGGTATTCGACAAAGGAATCAACCAACCGAATCCACCAAGAACAAGAGTAAGTAGGCTTTCCAACTGCACATCTAGCATTGCTGAAAAAAGAAACATTTTTCTTTCCTAAAGATTTTTTTATTCCATTACCTATGATACGTTATGTCCGATGTGGTACCACTTTTGAGGGCTATGAAAATCGAAGCTCTTCAAATGTGTCTGTGTATTTTTTAAGTTGAATACATCTGACAAAACTAATATGAGAGAGAAAAAGAGAGAGAGATTAACTTACAGAGCTGAGTGGATCCATTCGTATCGTGCTCCTCATCATAAGCTAGGTAAGTCTTTGTTGACCATGAGTCAGATCCAAACTCCTTATAGTTAAAGTAAAAGATGCTCATCCTTCCATTCTGCAATAGAATATATGTAAAGAGATTTATATTTCCTGAACTCTGTAAAACATACGGATGTATTCTCTCTAAATTGTTATATTGCAGAAAAGAATGAAAATTACCCGAGTAATAAAGAATCCAGGTGTTACCGTAGCAACACCACAAAAAGCTAAACCTAAAGCAGACGAGAATAGATCGGTAATAAGCGCCTTGTTTCGGGCCATCCTTCTCCGACAAAGTATCTAAAAAAGACTAGATTGAGAAGCGACATCTAATATCCTGCAACATATACTATAGGATGGATCTCTCTCTCTCTCTCTCTAACATATGACTATATCTCTCCAGTTTTAGATTTACGTCCACCTTTTATGCTGCTTTAAAACAGGTTACATATGCGTTCCTTGGAATATTTTATTATCATGCTCACGACATGTTTTATTTTTTTCTCCATTTCTTTCATGCAAATTTTTCAGGTCATCCGAGTCATTCAGGTAACCCTATTGCTATCCATGTTGTCCATCGTCGTACGCTATGTGTCGGTAGTCAACTTTAGAACCTGTTCAATTTCTTTTCTTGAATCACTTATTTATTACCAATTTCAACCGAATTAAGAATATAATTATGAAAAGCATGAATAGGGGAAGTATACATAATTGGTAATTTAATTGTAACTGACTTCTCGAACCCGAGGCTTGGGACTAAAACAATTAAAATTAGTCTTATTCCTAAGATATCTTCTAATCTCCTGGACACTAAGCAGTCAAGCTGTTGGCTTGATTATAATTATAATAAGCTTTGAGTCCACTGCCAAAATTGTGAGATTCATGACCCCAAATCAAAATTTGAGAATTTAGGACGGGGGTCTAATGATTAAACATGTATATGGTGAAAATAGATAATTCTTTATATAATCTTATTCTCTCGAATTAAGGTAAATAAAAAAATCACATCTAAGACTCTTGGAATTTAGCATTCTGATTATCAGAATTATTTGTTTTACATATGTCAGTATAGACAAAATAGTTAACAAGCCTGTTTAACTTTTATTTTTCAATATCGCAATCATACCACAGTTGTTAATTTGTTCCACAAAAATGGATTTTTTTTCCTGGTTCACGATACTACCTTTGCTTGCCTAGTTTGTTAGCTTTGTTATACAAAATCAAGCATTGGATTAAGCTTCAGACATTCTTCAATATGGAGACTAAATGATAAAAAAAACTCAATAAAAAAGGAATGAAAAAATCAGAGGTAGTAAAACGAAGAAAGAAGAATCAAAAAAATAATAAAATGTCAAGTATTATAATATAAGATGAGAAAAAGAACAAAAATAAAGAGTCATGAAAAAGGGATAATTCGGAGAAAAATAATTAAAAGTGAAAAAAAAACTGCATCATGAAAAAGAAATTACCCCTTTTGAATAATGAAAGACAACACTAACCAATAAGAGTGCTCTCCTTCAGTATGGAATCATGTTTATTAACAATTGCAAACAAAGCTGCATTTTATTTCCTTGTTTCCTGTTTTAAGCAAATACAAAAAACCGCGCAAGCGCTTAAAAAAGGGCTTTCCCAATACGGACATTAAAATTCCAATAATACTGTTATCGTGAATATTGTCGACATATCAGAATTTCTATATTAAATATGAATACGAATACTTTCCACGCACCTTAAAAATCATAATTTTGCATATTGATATAAGAAACATTTGTTCATGTCATGCTTTATATCATTCAACGTCCAATCCACCTGTCAGATAATTAAGAGGGTGAATAATTATAATATCACAAAGCAACAGATAGTCCAGATCTAGAGGATTATAAGAACTAACATCCCCTCAGCTTAAACTGATTTCATAGATCAGAAAGATGTCCCTAAGTGGTGCATGGTATTTGTTATTCTCATTTCCTGTACTCTAATAAAACAATATTTAAATTTTTGACATTATATTGTTAAAATTTGTAGTTTTTACATGAAATGACACAGAAATTAGATATACTAGTATATTATATTCAATATATTAGAAATATATGAAATGAAGGTCATTTGAAAAAACATACATTTAATAAGATTCTTTTGCAAAAAATTACCTTTGAATAAAACTTCATACAGATATGAAGATATTTGCTCTCTGCATGTTTATATAATAGAGAGATACCACAAATGTATATGTGTGATATCCTTTGACATAATATCATTTATTCATTGAATAAATTAGAGTATTTCACCGTTAAAAATGTAATAAGAGATTCTATTATACCTCATTATAAATATTCTAAACAACGCGTCATCTGATTGGTTCTAAGTTATCACGTGATCGGGCCGTAATAATTTCCCGGCCGTCGGCATGCTTTTATTCCACCTCTTCGGATACTTAGTGCATTTTCCCGCAAAAATCATCGTTCGTTTAAAGAAAACTCCCGAGAGTATAGAAGACGTCATAATAACCTGGTTTACGTCATAAAATTGATGATAATGTGTTGACCAAAGAGTTTTAGTAACGTTTTGTGAAAAATGAAAGTGAATTTGAGAGTGGTGCCGAATTTGAAAGTTTATGTTTATTTCAAAGGTTTCGCTTGTTTCGGTATAATAAACAATTCATTGCATGAATGTTCAGGAAACATGAAGACTTATTCAGCCAAGAAATATCATATTCCCCTCGGGCGAAGCCCTCGGGGAATATGATTTTTCTTGGCTGAATAAGTCTTTGTATTTCCCTCACTATCATGCAATAAATGTATAATATTTATTGCCATGATTAAATCTGATTAAATAGAAAAAGGATTCATGTAATTAATCAAAGAACAATTTCAGTGCAGGATGAAAAGGATTCATGTAATTAATCAAAGTACAATTTCAGTGCTGAAAGGTCAAGTTTTTTGTACCGTTGCATCGTACAGTTTAAAGTTTGTTGATTTCCTTTTCAAACATTTCCCTATACAAAAATGTTAAAGCTCGACACCACTGGGAGTGAGGTAGTTAAAATAGTCGTAATGTTGTAATTAAATATATTTTTCAATGTCATTGGAAGTGATTGTTTTGAAACATTTTTCAATAAATTATAATTGTATTTCAATTAAGTACACTGAAAAAGGTAACATGCAGTATCAATTACTTTTCTACTACATTTTAATTACTTTCCGTATTTAAAGGGACCGACTGGGGTTTCCATTGCGCAATATTTCGCGCATCTTAGTAAAATATAGCGTAATCTCTGTTTAAAATCAATTTTTTATTCACTTAATTAAAGAAAACTAACAAAATTAGGAAATCGCAGGTTGAAAAATCTAATTACAATTTTCTATAACTAAATTTAAAACGATCATTAAACTGATAGGTAAATTGACGTCGTAATAGTGTGTTTTTGACTTTATGATAACGTGCAGCTCTCAAAGAAGGGGTAATACAAATGTCATCAAATAAAAAGTAAAAAATATATGCTCTTAAAATTTAAAACATTTGTAGATCAACTGAGTAAACACAGGTGACCTATTGCTGTCTGTGTTCGTCCGTCGTCGTGCGTCGCCCGTCGTGTGTTAAATTTGAACATTTTCAGCTCCTTCTCTGCAGCTGCTTAACCAATTTCAACCAATTTTGGCACAGAGAATCTATGGGTGAACGGAAACAAAAATTATGAATTTCATGGTCGCTGCCTCATCCCCCCTTGTGAATGGGGGTGGAGCCAAAACCACTTTAAATACTGTAATCTTTAAAAATCTTCTCTACTCCTGGACATCAAGCAGTCAAACTATTGGCATGAGTGTAAACGACATTAAGCCCTCTAGCAAAATTGTGGAATTCATGGCCCCAGGGTCAGGGGTTCTAGTGTTAGGGCTGTGCTATATAGATCCGTACATACATTGGATTTCTAAACCTTTACAAATTGAATTCGTACAATCCTTACAATTAAATCATAAAAAGGGACATTGCAATGCAGGCACGTAGGAACAGGGGGTGGGTGGGGGTCTGCCCCTTTTATTTGAGTGTATCGTATACACTCAAGATAAACCTTTTCAGTGTCCTGGCCTTTGTGGTTTCTCCAAACTTCACAGCCAAAGTCAAAGATACTACACACATAGGTATCAAAAATAGAAAACAAAGTACAATGATTTACATAAAGCTGTTTCATTGTTGAATTTAGAGCGAACATACACTGTAGCTTTGCGACCTTGTGTCAACAATCATACCAACAATGGTAGCTTCTACCGATGTTTGAAAAGGAAACGTATTTGTTAAAAAAAAGAAAAGAAATAAATGATATAAAAAGAAATTGAAGATATAATCAAAGCAGAAAAGAAAAAGGAATGCAGATACAGAAAAGGGATAGTGAAAAAGAGTAACCAATGATATAATCGAAATCTAAATTATCAGAAGCATAATAGGATATCAGAAGCAGGAAAAAAAATCCAAGAAGACAATCGCATAAAATGGGAACGCTTTTACATGCAAGATGAGAAAACTTGCTATCATAACGAGGTAGTGAGAAGTTTTCATTTTAAAATAAATAAACATTCAGAAATCGAATTTGTCACATTAACGCATGATGAGGAAGGATATGGAGATGACGAATAGTACTGAATATAATAGAATATCAAAGTCCATAAAACAATACAAAATAGGAGCAGAGCAAACACGGACTTCTAAAACATCAGAGGTGGGATCAGGTGCCATGGAGGAGTAAGCATCCCCTGCTGACCGGTCACACCCGCCGTGTGCTCCTTTTCACGATCGGGAAATAACGGGAAAATCCATCGTCAATTCAGTGCATAAATAATAGACTAACAATAAGTATGAAAAAAACATCAGACAGCATTTGATTCAATGATAAATTTTATTTGCTGACAATGTCATTGTATCGACCATAGAACTTACGAAATGAAGACTTTAAACGAGACTGCTGATATTCTTGTTTCATCAACTTGCTTGTCAATAATTTTCCGCGCGTTAGCAATTGTTCATACGTAGAGCATGATCTTGCGTATCGAATCAACTGAGATATCTCTACTCCGTATGCAGGTGATGAAGGTATATTGCTGCATAAGTAAGGGAAGTTGAGGATAGAAAAATTAAAGTCATCATGTTTATCAGAGCTTAGTTGTTAGATTACCATTAACGTCTTTTTCAAGTAAAATATCCAAATGTGAAACAGATGTGACAGACTTTGTGGTATCTTTTATTTCAAGCTCACCAGCATATATCGTTTAGACGTGAGAATGGAAATTACCATTAATTGACAATGTGTCGTCGATATATCTAAATGTCGAGTTGAAGCCCACAGCAAGTGTTTTCTTCTTTTCACGCATATGATTTTGCATAAATTCTGCCTCATAAGAATATAAAAATAGGTCTGCTAATAATAATAATAATAATAAGTGCAATTGGTACCCATGGGAATTCCAATAGATTGTTGGAATACTTGGTCTCCAAAAACCACATAGATATTGTCAATCATAAACTCAAGCATCTCTTCCATGTCAACTTCAGAGTACTGGTGTGTGCAATCAGAATGTGTTTTAACAAAATAATTTTGCAAATGACCAATGACCAGGTCAGTAAATTTACGAGTATATAATCAATCCTGTAATTCTGTTTTCTATTTCCTTGCAAGCACATGCTTGTGAGGATGTAAATAATTATAAACCAGAATTATATCATTAAATAATAGTAACCTTTATTCCTGTTCTGATATGTTTGTGTTTTTAGTTGTGTAATTATATCTCGTGCTTCAAAAGAGAAACGAAAAATAAGAAATAAAAATTAAAACTAAAGATTATTCCTTGTTTTACAGTTTTTTTTTATGTCATAATGATAGCAAATACTTTTGATAAAAAAAATATTATGTTTTTTTTGTATCAATTAAAATTTGTTTCCTTCAAAGAGAAAGATATTTTATTTGATTCGTAAGCCCCTGAGTCTTATTACAAACATTAATGTAATCTAGATATTTTTGCTTTCTTATGAGTCTTATAATTGATTTGTTTTTATTTAACCCCCTACACCCGGGACATCTAGAGAATTTATCAAAAATATTTAAGATGTCACTAATTGCCAGTAAAAGGTTCATTTAGACGTGCAATCGCCACTTACAGCCTTTGTGCAGTGATGGGTCCGCTTCGTTCCAGCATCTACTGCAACAAGGGACTTCAGTTAATATGGTCTTATACGAAGGAACATTTTCCGAAGCAACGATCGTACTACGCGACTCCAAAGCAAACACTCTAAGCACTGTGTAATGCAAACGACTAGGGAAAAGGGAATTTTGAATCTTGCAATAGGTGTGTAGGTGTGCACAGGTGTGTAGAGTATCTTCAGCGGGGCGTTGTATTTTAAGCACATCCTATGATCCAAAATTAAAAAAAAACATGTTTTATATTTCCAGAAATAAATACCTTTATTATAAATAGATTTAATTTCAGCTTTCTTTCCTTCAATTAAACACTCGTCTAAGAACATTGAGCTTGTTTTTTGCCAAATAACACAAGACATGTTTGTTCCAAAAATATGTCA